TACCTCTTTGCATGACAGTCTGGGAAATAAGCTGACTATTATTAAGTCAAATATGTATATCCACATCTTAGAAAATTCTTATGGAAATGATCCACTTCCAGATCATCAGATCTGAAAGGCTTTTACAAAGGAAAGTAGTATCACTAAATCCTGATTTACAATAGTATAATAGAGGTAAAAATATTATGAATAATCACTGTGGTAGAATTTAGCATGGACATTATTTTTTGCCCTCATATAAAACTGTGCAGTACTGCTGAGTGCACAGAAGGGCTGGGGGCAACCAGCTGTGGAGCTGACACATCCATGCTCCAGCAGTGGAGAAAGTGTCTTTTATGACCTGCACCTTATTCAGTATATGGGGCAGCGTATTAACAATATCAGTCTACTTCCTCACATTTCCTTGGAAGCATTTTCATTATATTCTCACTCTCTTTTTCATTCCAGCACAAAGAAAGATTATATTAGTCACAAGTTTCCAAGATGATAGTGTTGGATGGAAATGCCTACTTCAGTTTGTTATTATTATGTAATATTGACATGCAAATATGGTAACTTCTTTTTTTCTCTATTATTTCCCACAGGGTGCAGCTTTAATTCGAATGTTGGCTAACTTTATGGGTCACTCTGTGTTTCAAATGGGCTTACAAGTAAGTAAAGGCATTTCTGTCTTTGTGTAGGAGTGCATTTCTAGCAGTTTCTCTCTCTTTTTTTTCTTTTTCAACTATGTTTGCATCTATTTGTGGAAATGTTTCTTTACTTCAGGACCATCTGAGGCACCAACATATCCCTGAATCTGAATCTGATGGAAGACGCTGAGTAGTGTAATAGACATTGCAGTGCCCCCAGTTTCACCTGTATTTCTTGTATCAAGCGATTACACTTTAACTGGCACATGGTTTTGTGTCCGTATTGTGTAGATTGCCATGTAAAAGCCATTTTATCCATTTGACAACTGTGTGAAGGACTAGCTGAGGAAAGAGCTACTTCAATTGCATTTGTGTGCTGGTATAACAAATAATAACAAATGATGTCAAGCCGGCTAGAAAATACACAGCCCTAAAACTAGTAATGCTTTTCAGATAAATATTTTTGCCTTCCCTTCCCCCCTAGCAAAATCCTTGAGCTTCATTTTTACCTTTGATAAGCATGGAGTGCTCTCTGCCTTAACAATGTTTTGAAAACTCACTCTGCCTTTTAAAAGAAATTTAAAGAGGTAACATTTCTGTACAAAGAGAAAGAAATTCAACGTGCTGATTACTGAGGATGAACTCTTTTCAGCAATAATTCAGTGCAAATGAGTGTTTCGTGAACTATTTAAAAACAAACAAGCCAGAGCATAAAAAACAATGCGACTCCCTCTATTCCATTGAAATATACTGGAGTAAATCACATTACAGGCAGCTGTGATTGATGAATTATGTATGATGCAGCCTGCTACTTAGAAGTGTCCTTTAAAGTAAATTGATGTTCACCTGAAATACAATTATGCTAAGATGGAAAGAGCAATCAATCTTATCTGTTCTTAGTAAGCTTTTCATTTTGAAATTTAAATAAACTACATCTAGGATCAGGTCATTTTTTAACAGAATAATTCTACCTCTAACCAAAATAAATTGGAAGATAAAATATAAAACAAAAGTTAAATAAATGCATTGGTTATGCCAGAGGGGTGTGTTCCATGCAATAGGCAATGAAAGGAAACCTGCTGGAGAAATACAGCTTTTTGGAGAGTTTACAGGACATTCAGGGTTTGCAGCATAACTTATTCACAGGACCCAGTTGGATCATTTTCTTAGTTGTAACATGAGGTTAGATCAGTTAGATAATCTTCTTATCCAGATAAGAAGACTTGAAATCAAAAGTTTCCTTCATAAAATCTTGCATATGACAAGAGTAAAACCCTCGTCTCATTTAAGCCAATGAGACTTCTGTCCTTAGTCCGGCAAACTCCATATTCCAGCCAGAAATTTTTGCCTGCACAGATCCATTCATACGGAAATTCAAGAGCACTTTTTCCCCAAAAAAATTTCACTCAGGGTTTTAGAAAGAGAAAATTTTAATACGTACATCTCAAACCCCATTTTTCTGTTTTCTTCTACGTTTGCCTGAGAAATAATAGTGTGCAAGTTGTCCTGAAATAAATTTAGAAAGAAGTTCAGATCAAAGAATAGGGCTATGCAGAGATTAAATAATCATAATTACCATGAAGTTGTAATGGAGCTTTGTTTTTTGATTTGAGTGGTTTCCTATTATTTCTGCTTTTCACCGGTTCTGCTCTAAATAGAAACTCTTCTGTTTGCTAATGAAAGTCTATGAAAAATCTAACTGTGAAAATCTGACTAGTGAAAGTCTTGGCATCGGTTCAGTAGGAAGATGGTATTCTAACTTCTTTTATAAAAGAACTTTTTGAAATCCAGATAGAGATTTCCCATGCGTATGTCTCCAAGTTAAACAAAATAAAACATAAAGTTTGTAAACTTGCTCATAAGCTACATATTATACAATTGGAAATGTCTGTCAATCATTTAATTCTTTGTGTTTTGTGGATCTAACAAAATAGTGTTCCTGCACTGTAGAGTTGGGAGGCTAGCTTTGCTAATGATAAGGGGAACTGGAGGACTAATTTGCCCTTTCTATCATGCACTGGTTTAGGCTTTTTAGCTCTTTAGCCCCGGTACCATTACTTGGGATTTAGCATTATGTTGCCTTGAATCCAGTTTTATCATGGAATTCTAATGTTCAACTAAACCCTTCTCAAGGATAGCTGCAAAATCAAATATTAGTACTCTTCATAAATCTCTTCAAATAACGAATACTCTGAAAGTGCACTTAATGGTTCATTCCTCCTGGGTTATTCTAATGGCTTGCTGAGTAACTGAGTTCTGAAGGACCTTCACTTTATCTTATTTGCTTTGTTTTTCATTAGCCTCCAGTACATGGAGCATTTCAGTGTTAATAGTATTAATATAATTTTGGTTCTTTTTAGTGTATTAGGTATGTCCTTAAGTGTTTCACAGATGCAAAAAAAAAAAAGAGTATTCCTGTAGTCTTATTATACTAGCATAAACCAAAATGAGTAGCCCTTTATTTGTGTTTGCATTGAGTGTTTGTGGTTTCATCGAAATCAAGGTATGATTCATCATCTAATTAAGAGCTGCAGAATTAGAGCTTTTATATAAGAGAAGCTGCAACAAATATGCTAACCTTTGGGTTAAGGAGAGGAAAAGATAAGGTTTAGAGCAAGAAGCAAATAGGATACCTACCTTTTTTTTGTTCCCACTTTTTTCTTAATCTAATTACATGCTATCACCTGGCAGGTGGACTTTTTGAAGAGCAGCTCGAGATAGCTTGGGGGAGAAAAATGCCTTATATGTCAAAGAAAACAATCAATTGTGTTAAAAAGAAGGAAAAAGTTGATGAAGGAGAGCGGGGCTCTTTGTTGGATATTCTTTAACAATGAATATGAGCTGAAGGAAATGTGGAAAGGTGCACATGATCCCTACAGTTCAGCACACTGTTCTGTTGAGGAGTCTGCAAGGAGGTAAAATTGTAGTAGAGATGCTTAGTTTTACAGTGTAGATGGTTTTGGAGAGATTCATGTCTGTCAAGAACAACTGGCCTGTTCCTATCACGGTGAATATACCGTGAAAGACCATTAGATTGTAGTGTTGAAGTTCCACAATAAAACTGCAGCCAAGAGACTACCTAGTGAAGGTATGATTTTTTGGAAGCCCTTCAAAGACATATGATGTCTTGAATCATGTGACATTTTCAAACAAAAGATTTGAACTTTCTCACTGTTTTCACATAGGACTCCATAGACAAAACCGAAAGAGAACATATTTATATTGGCTGTAATGAATAATTGAATAATGACAGTAATAGCCACAGCTGGTAACGCTTGGATACGAGAAAGTCACAGCTATTATTTTGGTAGAAAATGTCTAATAAACCCTTCCTTCTCACAGTAGGTGATTTCTTTCTTTTTAAAAGTCCTGACATTGTTCATGATGTCCAAAGTTTCTTATGCTCCAGGGAAATTCAAGAGGTGCACGTCACTGAATGCCAGTACTATTCTTACAAAGTGGTGTTGCTTTTCAGTCAAAAAGCCATTAATCAGCTAGGACAGCGATTAGAGTATGAAGAGGCTTGGTCAGCACCGCTTGCTCTGATTATGTTTCTGAGCTGCATAGATTGGTAGAGGAAGAAGCCATAAGTTGGCCTTATCATTCAGTCATCACTCAGAGTAGTAATATGCAATATAATATTAGATTTGTGTGAGATTTTCATCTGTAGGCTGTTGTTCCTAATCTGTGTTCTTGAAATATGGTTGCTTACATGACTGGTGTCACTGTATTACATTTCCTGGAAGGTTTTACTGCTTTATGTCAAGGCACCTCTTCAAGTTATCAGTGGGGTTTTTTTCATATTAAATATAGAGAGAAAGCCCAGTGATTTGAAGGTGTAGTACGTAGATATGTGTAAAGAGGCACCTTCAGCTCTGTAATGAGACATTTCTGCACTGGTTTATTTAAATTTTTCTTATATTTGGGTTGATTATTTTGGAGCCTCATCTCTATTACTGTACGTTTGTCAACACTGCATTTCATTTGCCATGTGGCAGCTCATTGATCACATAGATCTGTATCCTTTTGAACTTCACTTGCTGCTGTGTATATGTTCATCACTCACTCTGATTTAGTGCATCATCAGCAGTTTGAATTAGTTACTGTAGGAATCTCTGCTTCTGTGATAAATTAACTGCTTTTGTACTTTAGGCTTCACATTGTAGATTTGGAAGAAGAATTTCCATACGGTGCTTTGGATATATGCTGTCTTTTTTGGTGCTGTTGAGTGACCACTGTATTGAAACAAACTGGTCAACCTTTCAGAGGAACTGGCTGGGGAAATATGACATGCAGGCTGTTAAATACAGCAAAGTTCAGACTTCAGTCACTTTTTACTATCATAAAGCTGACTAGTTAGACTTTCTTTCATCCACACTGCTTAGTATTGCCTGCTTTTTAGACACCTCTGTGCATGCCTGTCTTCTGTTTGAATTGTGGCAGTCAATGTGAAACCCTATCAGAAACTTTCTAGGTGTAAAATAAAGCTCTAATGTGCTATTTTCCATATTGTTTGCCACTTCTGTCCAAGACTCTAGTAATACGAGAAATGTGTTCATCTGTTTCCACAGTATTGTTTTATAATCCGTTTTTTACATAGTATATTAAACAGGTTTCAGCGTACCCATTTATCATACCTATTTAATATATCTTTATTCCCAGTTCACAACAGTTAGCTGTAGGCTGTTCAAAATGAGACATGATTAGAGACTTCTTAGTAGACTTTTCTGTAAAAACAAAAAAAAATCAGGCACCTTAGGGTCAGGCTCAGTGAAGCAATGAGCTGCGATGCTGTCCCTGGCTCATCAGTGCACACAGAACTACCTGGAGTCTTCCTCTGCTCAGTGGGAGTACGTAACTTTTGCTACCAGGCAGGAGCATCTTTACAGCTGGAGTACCTCTGATGTCGCAACTCACCTCACTGGTGCATTTAGTAGATGTTGAGTAAAGTACTTTTCAGCTAATTCTGCACCCCTGTCCTCTGGTTTAGAAGAGCACAGAGTGTATGACCTTGGTGAACA